AGGACCGTTGTTCAGTCTCGCCGGGGTCGGGGGAAGAGGTCCTGAGCCGCCCCCCTGGTTCCCTTGGCGGATTTCGCAGGAGCGTGGCGGCCTTGCGAACATTTTCCCGTGGGTCCTGCGCACTGTAGTGGATGGCTACAGGCTGCAGTTCCGTGTCGGCCCCCCCAGATTCAACGGGGGTGGTCTGCAGAGCCAGGTGTTGGGACAAGAAGTTTGCTCTCTGCTGGAGATTTCCCCGCCAGTCAGGGAGTCCGGGTTCTACAGCCGGTACTTCATAGTTCCCAAAAAGGACGGAGGATTGCGTCTGATTTTAGATCTGCGGTCCCTGAACCAATCTCTGAGGAGATTCAGGTTCAAGATGCTCACCATCCCCGCCATCATCAGCCACATCCAATCCGAGGATTGGTTTGTCACGATAGATCTGCGAGATGCATATTTCCACATCTCCATCCGTCCCTCTCACAGGAAGTTCCTGAGGTTCGCCTTCGGGGGCATGGCTTACCAGTATCGCGTTCTTCCATTCCGGCCTAGCACTCTCCCCTCGCACGTTCACCAAATACATGGATGCAGCTCTGGCCCCGATGAGGCCCCAAGGCGTCCGCATACTGAAGTACATCGACGACTGGCTCATTTTGGCTCAGTCTCGGGAGTTAGCGGTTTGGCATCGAGACGTCGTCCTCGCCCACCTTCAGCGTTTGGGGCTGTGGCTTAACGAGAAGAAGAGCGTGCCGATGCCCGCCCAACGGACTACGTTCCTAGGGGTGGTGTGGGACTTGACGACGACGCGGGCCCACCTGTCGCCTGCATGCATCGGGTCCATTTTGTCCACAGTGACCAGAGTGAAGCTAGGCCGCACCATCACTGTGAGACACTTGGGTCTCATGGCGGTAGCGTCCAGCATAATCCCTGGTCTCCCTCTCGCCCCCAGCCCCGCTAGGGCTGGATGCCATGGTGCAGACGTGGCCAAGGCGCCGTCTGTATGCTTTCCCCCCAGTCACTCTGCTCCCGGGGGTTCTGGAGCGGGTCCGTCAGGATGGTGTCAGCCTACTGCTAGTAGCCCCGTTTTGGCCGGCCCAATTGTGGTTCTCGGACATAATATCGCTCCTGGAGGGCCTGCCATGGCACGTCCCTCTGCCACCTGGTGTAGAGAACGGGCGGTGGACCCAGTTACCTGCGGTGGTGGACCCAGTTACCTGCCCGGTGACTATGGTTTCTCTGCTGGCCTTTCCCCATCCACACTCAAGGTGTATGTGGCTGCCATGGCAGCGTTCCATGCCCCCTCTGAGGGATAACTATTTCCTGTCAGGTGCACGGGTTACCTTCACCTATGGCCGTAAGGGCGCACTCTAGTCGAGGCATGGCGGCCTCTAGGGCCCTCCTCGCAGGGGCTTCGCTCCAGGATTTGTGTGAGGCAGCTGGCTGGGCCACTTCTCACACTTTCATCTGGTTTTACAGTCTGGACCTTCCTTCTGCACCCGGCACCCGTGCGCTCTCCTCTTAGTTGTGCCTACAGGTTACTGCACGCTGGGGGGCAGGCGGAGGCTTCGGCGTGGCATAGTGGGTATTCTCGTTCCCATAGTGTCGTCACCGACGCAGTTCGAGTTCTCTCGAAGGGGAACGTCTCGGGTTACGTATGTAACCCTTGTTCCTCGAGAAGAGGAACGAGACACTGCGTTGGTCCGCCACACCTCGCCCCGACTGGAGTACCTTGCTTCATAGCAAAGAGCTAATGTGTACAGTGTGCCGGCGTGCTTATATACGCCTCCAGTTACGCCGTCCCTTGCTACCGTTCTAGCAACGGCAATAGGATTGGAGTAGTTTCATTCATGATGTCAGCCGTGCCACGCCCAGAGGCGTTCCCATAGTGTCGTCACCGACGCAGTGTCTCGTTCCCCTTCTCAGGGGAACGAGACACTGCGTCACCGAGACGTTCAGGTTGCTGGTGGTGTAATGGTGTGGGGGATATTTTCTTGGCACACTTTGGGCCCCTTAGTACCGTTTAAGCATTGTTTAGACGCGACAGCCTACCTGAGTATTGCTGTTGACCATGCCTTCCCTTTATGACCACAGTGTACCCATCTTTTGATGGATACTTCAGCAGAATAATGCACCATGTCACAAAGCTCAAATCATCTCAAACTGGTTTCTTGAAGATGACAGTGAGTTTAACATCCTCCAATAGCCTCCACAGTCAGATCTCAATGCAATAGAGCATCTTTGGGATGTGGTGCAGCCGACAAATCTGCAGCAACTGCGTGACGCTATCATGTCAATATGGACCAAAGTCTCTGAGGAATGTTTCCAACATCTTGTTGAAAGTATGCCACAGAGAATGAAGGCAGTTCTGAAGGCAACCCAAGGTCCAACCCAATACTAGCAAGGTTTATGTAAAAGTGACCAGTGAGTGTATTTCCTCGACATCTATATAGTTTGTGCTACTAGATCAGTTGTCAAATTTACAGTAACTGGTGTATATTCTAAATGATAAATATATAAAATCATATTAAAAAAAATTATTATAGTACCAAAAAAGAGGAACACAGTTGATGTTGCACCTTACTAGAGTATCTATGTGAAAAGAGTTGAATGGAGTTGGGAAGAAAAAACTAACCCTAACCAAACTGTGGCAAGGAGGATCATATTCAGTTGTTGGTCATAGCTTCATAGTGCTCAAAAGCATTGTATACAGTATATTGCATCTTCATTTCCTTCTCTAACCATGAGACAGAGGCAGTGTGAGGAGAAAAATGATTATATTTCTTATATGAAAAGGGCACCCACCCCCATGCAGACCAGTGATTGCACATATAACTGTAATGCCACATTAATCTCAAATTAAGCTTCTATAAATCCAGTTTAGAAATTAGTTGCAGCTTTTAAGAATATTATCACCTTGTAAATGTTGCCTGGTCTACGATAAGATTTATGGGGATTATTAAGAGAGGTCTTCACTTTCAGTCCAGAAATCCCAAAGTATGTTGTTTTTGTAGACAGTCATTAGGTGTGTCTAGGTAGAAATTATAGATGACATGGATGATATAATTAAAAATTATATTATCCATGTTAGGTTTGATGCATGCATATAAACTATTTACGTAATCAGGATGATTACATAAATAACAACTTTGTTCCCAGGAGGACTTTGACACTTTTGGCTACAGTGTACTGCAGACATAACAATAATAGCAATTTTATGTAGCACATTCCAGGGAAAGGAAAATCAACACACAGCAGGTACATGAACTCTGGACTGCTATGAATGTGGAACATACTGATATTGAAAAGAGGCCAAGATATCCTAGAATCACGCCGTGTGTGACTCCCAACTGACACATGCCCTGACCCTTCCTGATGTATACAAAAAAAAACAAAAAACCTGGTAACATGCAAGTACAATTCGTGGAAAATAATTGAATAGACACATCATATAAAAGAGATTATTTTTTATAGAGTAGGTAATCCAATAATAGCAGTATTATCTTTAAATTCTTCCCAGAAATCTATTCTTGGCAGGATGGAAAAGCTTCTGATACAGATCATGAGCCACTAAAACCCTCCACTGAAACTCAAACCAGGGAAATTATGTTAGTGGGATAGCAGGTTTTTAAAGGACTGATGCCACCAGTTTGACATTGTTTAAGAAACTCACATGACATTGTTGAACAATTAAAGTAACACAAATGTAATGAAACAATATTTCATGTTACTGTTACTCATATCATATCAGTAGATTTTGATGCTATATCTAATATTGCATCAACCCCACACATTTGTAAACTGCCCATATATTGTACCAGGCTTTTGTGGGATTGAAATCATAAAAGATTTGAGAATTCATAGAATCATACCAAAGGCTGTATGTTAGAGATTAACTAAAATAGAGGTTCATCCTCTGGGGAACATCGATGTGTTCAGTACAACCTGCCCATTATATTTTGGCATTTCTTGTGTAAAAGTGGACATTTTGACCTCATGGTCACACCAGAGTGTAATAATCACATGGGGATCATGAATATTCACAGCTAATCTATAGAAATCTGGCAAGAGGTTATTGAGAAATCTTGCTCAAATTACTAATGTCAGACAGCCAAATGTAAAATTCAGATAGACATATAGCTCAGTTCATTGTTTAATCTGAACATTATGGAGTATTTATACCAACATTTTGAAAGAAATATTTATTATTTCTATAACTATAATAAGTAAGTATTTAAGAAGTGAAATAAAGTAGTCTATGGAGATAAAGTCAGCTTTCTGTGTAACACCAGATGCCAGAGAGTCATATAACCCTCTGTGGCCAACAAACTAAACCCTAGTTATGACTTACAAATCTTCTGATCAGCCAATAGAATTATACAGAGGATTTCAGAAATAAGTTTAGCTATAACTGCAAAAAGCAAATTTACATTTAGATAACTCATGGTATTCATGTCCAAGTAGATGAATAAAAGAAAAATGAATGAATCATAAACACCACTTTTAAATATGGCACAAATGATCTGTAACTTAGTGTACAGAGAATCTAGTGTTTCTGCTGGCTTGATGTTTCGTTGCTGGCCACTTGCCAGTCGGCCTTATCAGTTTTGGTAAAACTGTGGTAGGCATTTTCAAATTAGGATTTCCACCAGCTAAATGGACTTATCATTTGCAAATAAAAGGTTGGTATGCAGTTGAAAGATCCGGAATAAGCAGGTTCTGCAACTATGTATATTTACTGCTGAAATATAGCCTATTTTAAGTGGCACATACATATTTGTGGCAAATAAAAACTGCAGCCTACACTAGCTACTCCCTTTAGGACTGCTATAGTGAGTTATCGACAGAATGATGTAATTACAGGGGGACTTATTAGTTTATTGTATAGGCTACTTCTAATACACGGTCCATTGACTGAACTCCCGTCACCGCATGTTACGAAGGTGTTTTGACAGATGTCGGTGAAGGCGGAAGGAAATATGAACCTCTGAGTCGCACGCAGCGGTCACACCCCCTCTGAACACCGCAGACTCTAGCCGGCACACACATACCCACACACATTGACATAAGCTGGGCACAACAGTGCTGACACAGAAGACCAGGGAGAAATAGTCTTTAACCCATTTCTTCAACGTCACATCGTGCTGCCTGAATGTGACGCGACAACGCACCTGGTAAGGACTTTATTGTTTTTATTTTTCCCCATTTGCTCAGGAAATAAATATACAGTAAAGAATGCATTTTCAGTGGCAGCAATATGGAAAACGAGGCGTACAGTCGTTTAAAGGGAAGTTGCGCAGCAAGATGATCAAGCCATAAAAGTCACGAAATATTATTTGCCGCGAACCTTCGAAATGACATTTATAGGCACAAATGGCGACTGTAAAAGTATCAGTATTTGGCCAGTGCGTTGTTACACCATATAGTATGTTATCTTCAGTTCTGGATGTTACTCTGAATGTTACGTATGTCCTGATAGAATTGTTATTTTCCGTGTAAATGATGCACATGAGGAAACTCCAGAATGCACTGTCCATCTCCATCCAGGACATAACCCACTGGCTTTGATATGCTTTCATTTGGAGTAAGGTGATGTCATTTGAAGGAGTAGCTATATTGAAAGTATCTTTGAAATAAGGGTTGAATCATTTGCTGGAAGCTCAGCAGGATTCCTATCTTGAAATAGCATTATCCTGTCAACATTTATACTTGAACATTGTTTAATCGTTCAGTGATTTTCAAAGTGCTTCCTCGGACCACCAGAGCATTCAAAGGGGACCTCAATACAAGGAGTTGTTTAATTTGACCAGTTATATAACAGCTTTTAGTGGTTAGCACAATGACAGAATGGCTGTTGTGATTGCAGGTTTCACCAAGTTGTCCCTCCACCTAGTGTAAACAGCTACAAACTTGAACCAAGCCTTCCAAGTCATATATAGCAACATGAATTGTCTCTTGCACTAGTTTCCTGTAAATGCTTATCTAAAATCGGTTTTGTGGTGCAATGTGAATATATTTCTGGGATCCAGTGATGCGCAAAAGTTTGAAAACATTATCATGCAATTTCCTGTTGGGCTGCAGGATCCTGGTTGATCCTCTTTAACAAATACCAGCTGTACTAAAGTACACAAAATGAAAAGGTGTGTCTAAGTATGCTGGCATGAACTGAAGTAGCACTATAATATTTAGTTTTGTTTTCACTTTTGTGTGTGCCCTTTTCTTTTCTTTGTTATTTAAATCAACTTACTATGTGAATGTGGCTTGAAATCTTTGCTAAAATTGACAAAGATGGTGCTCACATTTGTGCTATTTCTTTAAAGAATAAAGCTTTAATGTGTGCAAGCAACTGGCACAAAACACCCATGCAGATTTTGGAAATGTAAAACAATAACTCATCATTTGCTAGGCTGTTTCCAGATGACCGAAATAGAGAGGAGAGGACCCTCGGTTGATGAGTTCCTCCTTGTATGCAGCAGAGTTCCACAGGCTTGGTGATGACAGCTGAGAAGCATGTCGGTGTAAGGATGCCTCAGTGACACTCTGCTGTATGCCATTTTTCAAGTCAAAAGTAGCCTCATAAACACATCGTACAAACCATACGGTGGCAGATGCTTTTGTTGTAAGAATTAAATGATAAAAAGCTGCACATTTCCTCAGGTGGGATTGGCTCCAGCACGCAATCCTGTACGCAGGATAAGCGGTCGATGATGGATGGATGGATGGACGTTAGAAGGAAGTTAGCTGCAACTGGAATGATGTTATCATTAAACTTGTGACAAAGTTCAGTGCCAAGCTGAATGGTCAGTCATTTTAGGTGATTGAGCAAAGGATAAGATTGGACGCAATCTCTGCATGAGGTCATCCGTTTGTCATTCTAGTTACAGTAACTCCCTTAAGACAAACAATAGTCAGTTAATACTCATGAACATGTAACTGAATAATTCAAGCTATTCAGAATTGTTTTGGGGTGTTTTTACGTTTAATAACCCACGAAGGAAGCTGAAAGTTTTATCTTGCTTTAAACAGCACTGGCAGTGGCTCTGCTATCCATTAACTGCCTCAGCATGAGAAGTCTCTTGAGGGAATACTAAGAGGGACTGCCACATTTCAATAACTAAAGATTGTGCCAATGACAGTTGCTGTGGCTTTTCTGAAATAGTGAGCGGGGTGTCTCAGGGGCACATACAGATAGCAAATGTGATTCCAGCTGCCACTGTGGCATCCCAGTCTTAATGATAGGGCAGTTGATTGAGTGGTGTGTTTCTTTTCATACGCTTTGAGCTGTGTATCGAGTTGCCGGACCATTGTTGATCAGAGCTACTTTTGCCATTACATGAAATAAACAGGTGATGAGGATTACACAGCTGTCGTTCTCTACTCCAAAGGGGAGTCTTAATCATGTGTGTGTGTGCGTGGACTTTTATCCATATGAGAACCATTATCAGTTTAATTCTGTTTTATTATCCAAAACATTATAATTCACCCTAGCCTGTTCGGTTTAGTTCATTTTGGTTAGCTGCAATTATTTTCTAATCTACAATGTAGAATACCTGCCTTTCTAGTTTTGCATGTTGTTCCTGTTGATACTGTATTGTTCTAAGTTGACAGCCAAGGCTGTCCATTCAGATGCTAGTTATACAAGTTCAAAATTATATTTTTGTGAAGAATTCTATCTTTGGTTATTTATTGTTATAATTACCAATAGAGTCTATTTTATTATGATTCTGACAATTGACACCTGACAATTCAATCTTTAGATAATCAAAAACTGCTATGATAATCGAGACTGAAACCAGGAAGTTCAACTTAAACCGGGAAACATGTTGTGTTTCTAGCCACTGTGGTGCCGTTTTTGACTGCATCATCAAGTCTAGGATTTGGTACAGAGTTATATAATTTCAGTGGTTGATAGGGTGGAGTTGGTGAAGTAATTAGTTCACTGTTCAGATGTTGTAAAAGTGAGAAACCTGAAAAAGTGTAATTAACTAAAAGTCCTCACAAGTATAGTAGTAAGACACATGTTTGTCGGCAACTGCATTTGTATGTCTAGTTGTGAATGATTAAACACAAAGCCTACCACAGCCTTTTTGGAGAGGCTGAAATCTCAGTGATTAGGCTGCCGACCACACAGTGTGGGGCAAGGACAGCTGCAGCTGGTTATCAATCGAGCGTTCAGAGTGAGGCTATCGTAACTCCCACTGTTCAATTCTACCAACCAGTTTTTATATTGAATACTGAAGGCAAGGGCAGTCCTCTTTCTTACACACACACACTAAATATATATGTAGTCACACTTTGGTAAAATAATATTCTTGTGTGTTAATAAAGCAGTAATAATGTAATAGTTACTTTGGCTGGGGATCCTTAGCTCTGTATAGCTGTTTTGTATACAGTATCTGCTGAAACTCATTCAAAGTTTTCAAGGAAACTATTTTCAGCCATATGAAAGTGCCTTAAAGACAAATGTGGTTTAAGCATTTTATCACAGTTATTATAACAGACAGACAAATCTATGAGACTTAAACTCGTAAAAATGTCCTAAGGATTTGGTATATAAAGCATAATTAAGAAGGCTGTTATATCTTATTTATTTTATCTTATTTATTTAACTGTTTAGCTACCACATGCTAGAAAGGGGCACATCTGAATGTCATTCTCGAAATGTGCACAGTAAGCTGCTAAATTGACGGTCTGTTGAAACTGGACCTTCAGGAAATTATTCTCTGAAAGCCAAAAACAACAAGCTGCCAGAAATGAGGAGAGTGGGATGTTTGTGGAGCACGAGGTGGAGGCGGGGGAAGATGGATCCATTTCAATGAGTTTCAAAAATAGTAGAAAGGAGGCACACTGGGACCACCATGTGATGGCTTGTGCTGCTTTTGAAATCCACGTCATGCATCATCAGGCAATTTCCTTCTTCCAAAGTCCGTGAAGATGAGTCTCATATTGAAAAATCAATTATTTGATCCCTGGCCTTCACTGTACCCTCAAGGATCATATGCCACAGATAATGCCTTGTGGACTTTGGAAAGAACTCCAACTATAGAATTGTATTTTTTGTTTAGTTAACCGTTTTCCTATCAGTCTAGTGGGGTGATGGTGACTGAAAGTATTTAACTCAGACTTATCAGGTGTGTGTTTAACAGTAACCAAGGCGTTTATTCACACAGGACAAGGCATATAAAAACAACCAAGCCGTGACTACTCTTTTCTGTGAAGATGCCTACATTTGTTTAATATGGTGTGAAAAAACATTTAGCAGCTGTGCATTCACTGCACTTAGGCCTGTTCTATTCGACAAGCAAAATATGGTCTTTCCTCAAAATGATCCGCTCAGTTGTTGGAAAAAAAATATTTTAAGCCACATCAGTTCACATCTTCAACTTTCTCTCATCACATTCTCAAGATGTTCAAAGTGGTGAGGCTTGGCAAGACGTATCAGTTAATCATTCGGAGAAATGCAGTGATAGGCTGAGACCGACTTAGAAGTAAAATAGTACTGAACAGGCTGGCTTTCCATATTTTTCACCTCATTTGAAAACTGTCTTCTGAAGACCGTGATTAGAGTTCAAACATTTCTATACCAGTTTTTATGTGTTACTGTATATCTTCTGCAGTGGAGGAAATAGAGGTATGGTATATCTTAATGATAACTGTATCTTTGTATTAGTGTTTTGTAGTGGGCTCAACAGTTCAGTAGTCAGATGACTGACGTAAGACTGCCCTCTATGCAAATGATCAGTGACTAAATAAAACTGGTTCTGTTGGGATGCCCTACACTACTCCAGATTGCCTTCTTTTTCACAGCTGTTCTCTTTCTTCACTCAGCTTTTGCATTAATACTGCTTTTGAGGCACATCTCTGATGGCTCATCTCTGTTGGATATTGTATTTCATGGATAATTGACTCTTGGCTTTCTTTAAATGTATTTTTCTTCTGCTCATTCAGTTGTTCACTCAGATGATTAATATCCATTGTATGCCGTCAGTGCCTTGAAAAGGTGATTGAATAACCACTTATTGTTTGCTTTCTAATATTTTCCAAAAATCGGCTCTACAACTCTTTATTTGTGACAGTTTGAGGTGGGCTGGCTGCAATGATGTCCAGGTCCACGAAATCTGCCTCGAGGTCTCGGAGCCGCTCAAGGTCCCGGTCAAGATCCCACTCCACCTCTCGCTCTAGAAGTCGCTCTAGATCCCGGTCCAGGAAGCGTCACTACAGGTAGTCTATTTTATGAACAATCCTCCTTTCTGGACAATCTATTGACTGTACTGTGTTTTTGTGGTCAAGATCAACTGCCTTTTACTTGACTGTTTAAGATGCCCTTGTGTTGCCACTCTGGAAGGGTATTATACAGTATGTACAAATGAAGAACGCCGTGACCCACCAAATGCTTTAAGTATAAATGACTGTGCACCAAAAAAAGTTGGTTGTCAAGAAGGAAAGAAAAACTGCAGGTGCAGCAGGGAAAGTGTTGCATCAGTATTGATCATCCTATGTTCCCTGCTAAGCTCCTTTTCCACTCAAATTCTATCTAGTAAATCTTGCCTTGTCCTAAACTACTGATCATAAAATGTACTGGTAAAATTTTACATGTAAAAAAATATATATGCAGGTAGTTTATTTGTGACAGTGGGAATGTCAACAAGCAGTTCTGTGTTTGGTTATAATCAGTGTTTCCTGTTAGCTACATGTGTGTTGATTTCCATATGCAAGATCTTGCCTTGTTCTGGACGCTGTGACTCTGGTTCTCATATGAACTGACAAAGCTGTTGTAGCATATTAATGGATTTGGTTGTGACCCAAACTCTGGAGTCGGCTTCTGTGTCAAGAGGAAATTGATGTATGAGAAAGAGTTCAGCTGTGGGTTAGTGAACTAACTTAAGTTGGAGTGGATATTACTGCAATGTGCACTGCATGTGAAAACATTTCCATATTAGTCGGCCACAGTAGCAAATGAATATTTTATCAAGATTTTTATCAAGAGGGCAGCATTTGTTGTTGGTTGCTTTGCTTAAATAAAAATGCCCTTGTAATAGGGTTATCTGTTGGCTCTGAGTGCATTCGAAAGAAAAGGGCTTCACTCTGATGTCTTTGTGGTTTCTGGCAGGATGACTGTATCATGGCAATAAAATGGCAAGGGTGGCTCATTTCCTGGCAGTGTCGCAGCACGTATTAAAATTAGCATTAAGAAGAGACATGGAAGGAATCTAATGGGTTACTCTTCCTCTTGAACCCACCTTGCACATGTGCAAATGGGTTTGTGGTCACACTGGAACTGTACAAGCCTGAATGCACAGATTTGCATAAAATTGTATAGTATATAAACACAAACCAAAAAAGCACAACACACCCACACACAAAAGTTATTTTCCTACATCTGCTGGGAAAAACATCCAACATAATAATAATCACTTAAAAAAGAAACGGTTCTAATTTGTTTGAGTTTTTTCTCAACTTCCCTCTGTCTCTTTCTTCAGACATCATCACCTTAGTACTTAAATTTGCCACAGATGTAGACTGTGTCTCAGCAAAACAGATTTCTCACATTGACATTTCTCAGTGACTTATCAAGTGTTTAACGAGAGTAACTAGAATTTATCTTGCTGAAATATAACAATAAGCAGACATTAAGATGTAGATGTCTGCATTATCTTGGTAACACTCAAAATAATAAATTGTGTTTAATTGGCATTATTGATAAAGCCTCACCAAACTGGTTGGACAGCCCACGTAGCTGCCAAACACAGTCAAAAGGATTCCAGTAGAATTTTTTTCCCCCTCTTATGGTCCATGTGACGCTCTACCAGAGCTGGCCAGAGGAGATGTATCTGTAGCTCGCACTGTGAGTGCGCAGTGCTGCTCAGTGCGCTGCCTTCTTTGAATCACTCTGTATTCCAATGAAAGAACACACTAGGTGAGTCCTGTGCTTCTTTAGGCTTTTTATATGGCTTTGGAATGCGTTTGCATGTAGCGTGGTACTGCTTTGCTTTGTCAATTTAGAATAGTGTTCTGCAATGTACTGTAGGCTTTGTATGCAATTGTACATTTCGTTAGTTGTTAGCAAGTTACTTTTTTTTTATTGACAATTGAAAAAAAGTTGCTAAAGATATAGTTGTGGAAGAAAAACTTAACAAAACATTACAGAACTACTTTGATGTCTAATTTAGATTTGCAACATTCATAATCTCAAGAGGTGTCTGTGGAAAGTAAGGGATGTTGTGTCGACATGCGGTTAGTCTTAAAAGAGCATGTTGGGCTCATTTAATCATTGATTTGAACAAGAGAATATACTGTATCATGGTTCATAATCTTAAGACTGTGTTCCTTAAGGTTCAGGATAGAGAACAAAATAAGGGGTTTTATGAGAAGTGCAGCAGAGCCACCATGTGGACTTATCTGACCCTGCAGCTTGGCTCAAAACCACACTGAAATCTCTGCTTTTCTCCATGCAGTGCTCCTTTGTGGGTTCCTATATATACACACACACACATGCATATGTTTTGCCAATTCCAAATGATATATGGATGCCGGATGCAACTGCACATCTATATATTATGTGTTTTTTGGTATTATGCTGCGTATTTCTTTTCCATATGTTAGGCGTGACTGATTTAAGTGGCAATCGGCTGAGTAGTATTTTTTTTCCCGGTGTGTCTTTCTCTCAGCATTTGGTATAAAGTGGTGATCGCTGAGGTTTTACTGCCCCAAAGGTTTATGAGTGAAGCAGTCAATCATTTCATCATTGTCTATTTAGCCATTGTGACATTTAGTGCACTACAGTGTTCTTTGTCCCTTTATTCTAAGACAAGACAATGTCCGGCTTTTACTGACCAAGTTGAGCTACATTTGTGTCATCGTGTGTGTGTGTGTGTGTGTGTGTGTGTGTGTGTGTGTGTGTGTGTGTGTGTGTGTGTGTATTCATAAAATGTCACATTTTGTAGTTATCTCTATGTTTAGAGGTTGTCAATTAGAGTTTCAGCAATTGTTGTATTACTAGATTGCATTACTATCCTAAAAAGTAAAAAAAAACCTGGAAATTAAGTAATACCTATGTGCTTTATTTTCCCCCTTGCTTTCGTTCACAGATCTAGGTCTCGGTCATGGTCAAGATCTCATTCTCCATCTCATAACCGGGAGAAGAAATATCAGAGGGGGTACCAGAACAGTCGTGAGTTCCGGGGCTACCACCGCGGCTTCCGGAGGCCGTACAACTTCAGGGGCAGAGGGCGGGGTTACTTCCCACGTGGGCGCTACCAGCGTGGCGGAGGGGGTGGTGGCTATAACAACAACAACAACTTCCGGCCGAACTGGAAGAATTACAAGCAGCACCCTCAAACACAGCAACAACAGCAACAGCAAAACCATTCACGAGGACGATCTCACAACCTCCAGAAACGCTCAGGAAGCCCCCCTCATGGTCCCTCTCACCACTCTGACCGATCCTCCTCTCCATTATCCAGACACTCACAACATTCTCCCTCTTCCTCACACTCCTCCTCACCCAAATGCAGGCCAGCCTCATTGCTGACTAACCAAAACTCCAAAGATGTGAAAGAGGAGCTCTCAGCCTCCAAGGAGGTCCAAAAAGGGGGTGGGGGAGATGGGGAGCCAGTGGAGCTCGCCGGGGTGCTGGCAGGAGATGGAAAAGAAGGTGCAGTCAGTGGGAAAACTGAGGGGAACTGTCAGGGCCCGACAGACTGCAACAGCAGTCAAAAGTCAACGAGTCCTCAGGCGATCTCTGCTGTCATTGTTGGTCAGAACAGCCAAACTACTAATCAGTCTAGTCCCTCCCCTAAATTCACAAACGACATCAGCAATGGTGCCCCCTCCTGGCCGATGGGGGGTAGTTCATCCACAACAAAAAAGCCCTCACATGAAGGTCTAAATCCAATGCTTTCCAGCTTTGACTTCTTCTCCAACAAAGAATACCTGGATGGAGATAAAACAGCAATCTCCATTGCCTTCGGAAAGTAAGATTGATTTTACTATTTTTCTCAAATATAAATAATTTACAATGAATAATTCTGACATTGTTCTAGCAAACTATCCAAGCTTTGAAGATAGAGCAATGTTATTAATTAATAGCATTGGGTTTGAAAGTTTTGTGTTTTCATGTGTGGTTGTCATGACACACCAAAATAAAATGTTGGTATTTAGGGGGATTCGGAATGATTTGCCAAAATGCAGTTTTTCCATTGAGATTTCATATGCTTTTATGTCATAGATAAAATACTTATTTGTCACAAAAAAATATATATTGTTGAGGCTCTAATATGACATCTTAGATAATCACCTGTAAGTTAAATTCTTGCAGTTGTCTCTCAAGTTGCATGCCCAGTTAGATGCAGTTCTCTCTTTTTCCTCGTTTAGGTTTTTGGAGGAGCAAAATAAAAAAGCTAAAGCTTGGGAAAATGGCAAGAACCCAGAAGCAAATGATGTGGATATGGAAAAAGAGAAAGTAAATGGTAAAGCATCCGTCTCTGACTCAATGTCAAGAAAATACAAAGAGGACATTGATGGTGAAGTGTCTCTGAACAGCTTGTTGAAAGCTTCTCCTTTTCTGTCTGCTGATGGGGAGGACGAGGAAAAGATGATAATCAAGCGTTATTCAAAGTCACTTCACAAAGACTGGAATAATGGGGATGAGTCCTCTAAACCAAAGAGCAAGGTCACTCACTCAGCCCAGGAACTGTTTGAGGAATGTTTTGGCAAATGGCAGAATATGGCACAGGTAACCAACAGTGACCTTGACGCCATGGTAGAGGACATATATCCCAGTCAAAAGCAGGATAAAGCAGCGGCCATTGCTGCAGTCCTCGCCAAGAGGGAGTTAGCAGGAACATTTGAGGAACTGCCCCCAGACATGGTTGGTAAAGCCAAGAAGATGGGAAAGTCTCCCCCTATCCTATCTCCTACACTAAAACCAAGGAGGAACTCTGACAGAGAGATGTTTATGATCAGGGGAGAGGACTTGCCTTTCATGTCCTCAAGAAAACAGGAAGCAAAATTAAATGTCAGAATGGATTTCCTTGGAGATAGCCTAATAAGGTGAGTTTCATATAATGGTTTCTGGTCCCATAAGTCATTTCTGTACATCCAAATGCAGGCTTTGAAATAGTAAGGGCACTTTTGCTGTAAACCGATGATTTACAGATTTCTGTAGAGAATGATGTATATTAATAAATGCATTTTCTGCATTGGTTTCCTTGTTTGAATGTTTAATCTGATCAGAGAACAACATGGTTTCTGCTTTATCCCCAGAGCTACAGACTAAAAAAACATGTTGTTTTTGTCATTTTCAGCTCTTCTGATATTTTAGCTGAGGAGCGACAGTTGTCTCAGGATCTTGTGCAGTCCTCAAAAAAGGATCAGGAGTTCCGCTCTATCTTTCAACATGTTCCGAATGCTCAGTTACAGAGGAGTCCCTCTGAGCTGTTTGCTCAACACATTGTCACCATTGTTCACCACATTAAAGGTGAGTCGTCACTTCTCTTGTTGTCCTCATATATATAATTAACAACAAAGAGTGGAGTAATCTCATACATATACACACACACACACACACACACACACACACACACACACACACACACACACTTCAGTTATTCAATTCAATGCAGCATCACAGTTGGATGGAAAATTGACACTAGAAGCACTAACAACTTTAACAGCTGTTTTTACTGTCTCCATGTACAGCTCAGCACTTCCCCTCCTCTGGAATTACTTTAAACGAGCGATTCACCATGTACCAAAGACGAGCTGCAGAGAAGGAAATGATGAAGCCAAGAAAAAGCCCAGAGATACACAGGTAGAGTCGCCTACTGAGTGACCCTCTCACCTTCTGTGTGCTGTGGCTTCACCTCCTCTTTTAACAGCTTTCAGGTATTTCTCTCACTTTTCCTACCTGAAAATCAACAGACTATCTTGGCTTATTTGTTCTCATGCTCAGTGGAGGTCAGTTTTATTTTCCCACCAACCTTTTTCTGTTTTATGTCGTCTTTGCTGTTCAGTGTCGCTCACGGTTTGTTGTTTTGGCCCCTGTACCGTGGTTCTTGTACTATGTGCATTTAATTATCTTGTCTTAACTGTGTTTCTTTCTCACAGGAGAATTGATGTTTCACCAAGAGCTTTTAAGAAACACTCTCAACTTTTTGAGGCGATGAAAAGCTCAGAGGATGGCACTTACAAGGTGACTGAACATTTTGCAGTATGAAGTATGTTGGAAAAACAAACAACAGCAAACCAGTGTGCAAGCCAGATGCCTTTAGACTGCACTCTCTTAAAGCCTGTGGCTTTCCTTGAAGGGAGATGCACAAAGTCTAAGAAATGCAAATGCAAAATAAGGCACTTTGACTTTGTTGTTTGTTATATATCGCCTTCACACATGGTGAAATGGTTAGACTGTGGGCACAAGCCTGATCCAGGCTAATGAATCATATAAGTTGAGAAATGGAAGCCACTGTGCCAAAGCTGTTCAAAGGACTCTAAGCAATTGTCTTCGTAAGTATTCTTTAAAAAATAAGGAACGGAATTAACCAACAACAGGCACTTTATGCACCTGTGCTTATATTTACATGCTTAACTTTCTGAGTAAACCCTCACACTATAGAATATATTGATGCTCTTGGACACCTATGGTCAATCATTTGTAAACATGATGTGCAAATACTACTAAAATGCATTAAACTAAGTAAACTCTTTGTTAATGCGCCATACTAGTGGTTTTGCCAGTCATACAACTATGAAGCGTGTATACTTCATAATAGGTACGAGCAACTATTTCCCAAAGCATACCTCAAAGTTTTTAGATTAGTTTCCTACCTTCCAGGCAGCTATTGATTTCAGTTCATGTCAGTACAATATGATAAGCAATATATCACTGACTTGAAACTTGCTTTATATAGGACATACATCACTGTGAACGATCCAGTGGTTGTTTGAAAACACACATACCTGAAGGCACCATGTCGCTGAGGCCCTGATGTTCAAAATGTGGAAAGTGGCTGCTGGAAGTCATGTTACACATACAAACAAGCAAGGGTGATGTGAAATATGCTGGTGCTGTTTGTTGCTGTTGTGCAGCAAATTCTTTTAGCCTTGGATGCTGGACTTTGCCGCAAGCATTTGAATGGACCAGTGAGGAGGTTTACAGAACACACTCTACTGACCGCTGACCTTCCAGTAGTGGAACTTTGACACAAAATAAAGCTGACTAAATGTTGACAGTGATGGATTGCCTATTTGAAGCAATAAAGTAGATTTTCTTACCATATTTAAATAGCTGCCTTGAAGGCAGAAAAATCCATTTAACAACATATGCTTTGGAGAATGGTTCAGACTTTTAGGTAATCCTAAAACATGCAAAACTACTGTTTTGGCCCTTGAAGTGCACTGGAAAAGTCGCTTAGTTTTACTCATGCCAGCTGGCTGTTACCCAGGTTTTCCCCTTTACCCATGGACCTCACTATTTAATTTACAAACCAGCTTGGCTGACAGCAGATTGATAGCATCTACGTGCTAATTCAAAGTCTGTCCACGACGTTGTGTTCTGTTTTGATTTGCTCAGGAGTGTGGAGAAAAAATGAAGGGTGACCCAATGGACCTTCGTCTGGATATTGAGCGCCGTAAAAAATATTCCACCCACGAAAGAGTTTATAATCAGGATCGGGGAGGAGATATAGAAGATTCCCCAGATTCTAGTAGAGAGAGATGTGTGGAAAAGTTCTCCAAATGCCACGAGAAATCAAAGTATGTTCAACTGCCCTACGCTTTGTACTCTTTCAAACTATCTACAAATAAGTTGAATACCGGTGTTCATCTACCCTGCATGTTAAACAGTTGTGCATGAAGGATTTTGCATATAACATTTATTCTTTTAGGAAAAGTAAGAAGAAGCGCTCTCGCTCAAGTTCGTCCTCATCTTCCTCATCCTCCAAGTCCCAAAAAGAAGATTTGCCCCATGGCAAGTCTGATCCCAAAGATAAAGGCTTTAACAGGACTCGACTGGATCAAAGGGAGTCCCCAGAGTCAGTTGAAAGAGGAAGGCCACGTGGAGGATTTGTAAGTTTGACCAATTATGTAGGAGCAGAGTTTGGAGCACTGACTTTTCAACTCCATGTCTTTTTCTCTAATTACAGCAAGTCAGAATCCGTGGAAGGGGCTGGAACAGAGGCAGTTATCAGGGAAACTGTAGTGACAACATGGAAAACATGGCAGTACACCCAAAAAATGAAGACTGGGACCCAGAGTACACTCCCAAGAGCAGAAAATACTACTTGGTAGGGGTGATTTCATTCCCATTCCTGCCTACCCATCTCTGTTTAAATTAACCACATGGTGTTATTTAATCTAATCTAGCTCAAGTTAGCACTTTTGGTTTCCTGACACACCTCCATGATTTTTCCACCTTTCTCTCAGCACGATGACAGAGACGGGGAGACAGAGTCCAAGTGGGTGGACAACCGAGGGCGAGGACGGGGAAGCTTCTCGCGTGGAAGGGCACGATTCATCATCCGCAAAGCCACTGGGGGCCCCAACACCAATAGCCCCAAATGGGCCCATGACAAGTTCCAGGTCAATGGGGAGCAAGGTGGCGCACATGAGGAGGAGAAAGGACAGGACCATAAAGAAGGCGAAATCGATGGAGAGAATACTTGAGTAGTGAAGCAATGTGCTGAAAATCTTAATTTTCTTCTGTGTTGTTATGGGATCTGTCTCAGTGATTTTATCCACCAAAATGAATTCATAAATGCAGATTACAATGTTTTAAGACTCTATCACTAGGAAAACGTGTAAGCTTTCATTTCAGCGTAGGCTACTCATTCGGATTTTCCACATCAGGATACAAATTATAACTAGTAGAAGCACTGTTTAAGGGTGAATTGCTGTTTTTTGCTTTATACAGTAAAGTGAAACTTTCAGTGTAGCATTTTGGTAATATACACACTTTTCTCATAGGAATAATTAAAAAATGACTCCTTAATGACATTTGCAATTTCAAGTAGCAAGAGAAAATCACACCATAGATCACGTCAGCTTGTGCCTTATACTTGTGGAAATGAAGAAATTTTTTGTGAGCAGCAAGCAATAGTTGTAGAGGTAAATGTATTCAAATCTTCAATTTTCAACTATGAGTTTTTTAAAAAGAAGGCTTGTTGTTTTGAGGTGTGTCTTGTCAGTTTGTTAAAATGACAGCAATAAGTACAGAGTAGTTCGTGTTGACGTAAAAACATCCCTGTTTAACCAATTGAGAACTCTACAAATGACCCTGATTAGACCATGGGACCAACTGTATGGGGGTCAAAGATTTTACTCTGCAACATATTTACAATACTAGCTGGCGGCACTGTTAGACTGTTATTAAATGTAATAGGTTGTTCATTAAACATTTTGCTGTCAAAGATATCTATACTTTACAGTAACTTTCTGATCTTGGATACCACTTATCAATGTGTGATATTATTGGGGTTATAAGTTTTCCTCCTAAGACACTCACTGTAGTTTTTGTACCTAGGCAGGGTTTTGACTTTGTCTGTAAAAGGAGAATTTGTTGTTGTAATTTGCTGTTTGAAAACTTTTTTCAGTCAATGATGATTTAATCAGTTATGTAAATCGTGTGCAATTATGTGATAGAAGAGGCTCAAGATTAGCATTTGTTTGTAGTTTGTAAGGAACAGAGATACAGGATAGTTTGTAGGACCAGGATTACAGTAAGGCTAATCCTAGAATAAGAATGTTTGCCTATCTCCAATATTCTTTTCTAGGATGTCTAGGATTAGGCTCATGTCTTTTTGGCCAACTACCCATACAACTGAATTACACAATTATTGTGCCTTGCTGTGGGTGCGCTGGTCTCATTTATACAATACAGGCCAACAGAATTGTTTAAAGGTTACCTGCTTAAGGAATATTGCTTTTTTTAAATAGATGTTACATTTCTTGGAGATTGTAAATTAAAGAGACACTGATTACTTTAATATTTGCATTGATTTGTCTTTTATTTTAAGTTATCTCAGGTATAAGAACAATTCAGATTTGAAATGCCACTTATTGCAGTTAATGTAATTTTTTTCATGGGAAGCAAGCTGCAGCTTGATTAATGTCCACAGCTAGACTCCCACCAATTTGCATGGTGACAATCAAAAGTATAGTTCATTAAGTGAATAATCATCTTGAGAACCAAAACCCAGCAGTGCCTAAATATAAATTTCAGTTCAGAGCCTTGTATTCTCCAGAAACAGAGCTCTGTGTCCAAGCACATTAATAGAGAGGTGAAGGGAAGGAAAAGATGTGGTAGGGAAAAAAGTGTACAAGCAATGGGGATAACCGCACCCTGGAGAGGATTGTGAAACAAAACCCATTCAAAAATGTGGGGGAGATTCACAAAGAGTGGACTGCAGCTGGAGTCAGTGCTTCAAGAACCACCACGCACAGACGTGTGCAAGACATGGGTTTCAGCTGTCGCATTCCTTGTGTCAAGCCACTCTTGAACAAGCGTCAGAAGTGTCTCGCCTGGGCTAAAGACAAAAAGGACTGGACTGCTGCTGAGTGGTCCAAAGTTATGGTCTCTGATGAAAGTAAATTTAGCATTTCCTTCCAATGGTCCCAGAGTCTGGAGGAAGAGAGGAGAGGCACAGAATCCACGTTGCTTCAACTCCAGTGTAAAGTTTCAGTGATGGTTTGGGTCTACCAGGAAGTTTTAGAGCACTTCATGCTTCCTGCTGCTGACCAACTTTATGGAGATGCAGATTTCATTTTCCAACAGGACTTGGCACCTGCACACAGTGCCAAAGCTACCAGTACCTGGTTTAAGGAACATGGTATCCCTGTTCTTAATTGGCCAGCAAACTCGCCTGACCTTAACCCTATAGAAAATCTATGGGTTATTGTGAAGAGAAAGATGCAATATGCCAGACCCAACAATGCAGAAGAGCTGAAGGCCACTATCAGAGCAACCTGGGATCTCATAACACCTGAGCAGTGCCACAGACTGATTGACTCCATGCCACGCTGCATTGCTGCAGTAATTCAGGCAAAAGGAGCCCCAACTAAGTATTGAGTGCTGTACATGCTCATACTTTTCATGTTCATACTTTTCAGTAGGCCAACATTTCTAAAAATCCTTTTTTGTATTGGTCTTAAGTAATATTCTAATTTTCAGAGATACTGATTTTGGGATTTTCATTAGTTGTCAGTTTTAATCATCACAATTAAATGAAATAAACATTTGAAATATCAGTCTGTGTGTAATGAATGAATATAATATCCAAGTTTCACTTTTTGAATGGAATTACTGAAATAAATCAACTTTATGATGATATTCTAATTATATGACCAGCACCTGTATGTCTTAAGTGCATTTTTACATTCACTCTTTATTCTTCTATATTTGGTAATTTACACCTCACATACTAATTTTATTTATTTTTATAAAATTATATTATCTCTCTCTCTCTCTCTCTCTCTCTCTCTCTCTCCCTCTCTCCCTCTCCCTCCCTCCCTCCCTCCCTCCCTCACACACACACACACACACACACACACACACACACACACACACACACACACACACACACACACACACTATTTAAAGTACATTTTTTTATCTTCCTACAAAATGGATTTGGCTACTTTCTTTGCTACGTGTTATTTGGTGTGTGAAATTCAGTATTGTGTAGCCTGGTTCTGCTTTCTATAAATGGCCAACCACTTTGCCTCAAGGGGTACACACAATATTTTAAACAAACTAATCTCAAGAAGCATAAATAAGGTATTGAGTTTGAATTTCTTTCAAATCTGCAGCTAGTTGGCATCGTGTGGCATGGAGATATATGAATGAGCCAACAGACGTGGTTTAAAGTGTAATTGTACAGCTTGTGAATGCAGGTATTTGCCTTCTATATTTTTTGTTGCTGCAGATGAACTATGTTGCTGTGGGCCATTTGAAGTCACACTAATAAGTACTGTCACTATAAACCTGTCTTACCTGTTGTTCTCTCCCTCTCTCCTCCTGACCCCTCCCCCTCCACTCTCTGTAGTGTTTGACCTACTCCTAGCTGTTGACTTGCCATGACAAGCCTCAGGAAAAGTTGCTCAATGTTTTACAAGTAGGAAGAAGGGCCTTGGCTGCAATATCTCAGTCTTAGACAGCACAGCATTCTTTCAGTTCTCCTTCTACCCAAGAGTTTGTTTGCTGCTTTGCTGAGGAATTACATATTCAAATTCGAAGGAGAAGGACAGAAAGACACCATGGGTGAGTGAGTGTTATCGCTTATTCTTATATACTGGTTGGATTTCTTAATGTGTTAATTCGCTCAGCTGTCTGTCTGATTGCATTCCTGTGGCAAAACACGAGGAGCAAGTGCCAAATAATGAAACACTTGAATTGAATTTTGTGTCTTCACAAATGCTGTTGATTTTTTTTAATACTACTATCATTGATTGTTGCGGTTGACATATTTTAAATTTGGCATGCAAATAAAGCTAAAGCAATGGTATCCACATACCTTTGCATAGACTGACTATTTTTAGGCTACTTATGTTTGTGGGAAAATTAGGGTAATCTTATTTTTTGTTATGTTGTTATGTAGATTGTTGACTTTTCAGTTCAGTTAGGTTCTCTTATTGCTGCAAGAAAATGCTGACATGAAAAATATGTTTTTCTACTTGTAAGGACTGATTACTGACAGAAGAAAATGTACAATTTATCCCTAATAATTTACATTCGCTCAAATCCAACATCCTTGGGTAGCCTCCACTGCATAGAGGTTTGTCTTAGTTTTGAAATGTCAGGACACATCACTTGTGAAGCAAGTAAACCAGCCTTTGTGCAAAGAATAAAATCTTCTGCCCCATTTACGGCTCCACTGTAGAGGCGCTGGTGCTGGTCGACTTCGAGGGCACCATGGGTGACGAGCTCACAGTGACGATGGGGGATATGGTTAAAAACATTACCAAGGCCAGCGAGGAGGGATGGCTCGAGGGGGAGTTGGGAGGAAAGAGAGGCATCTTCCCTGCCACCTTCGTCAAGGTCTGTTAACACTATTCAGCCCACAGCATTGTACTGTTACTGTATTGTGTGTTTGTGTGCTCATGTTTAAAATATACCTCATTTTGGTTTTTCATTACAGGAGGTGCCAGTCTATTTGATAGGTGACAGCAAGAGGGAACCACGAAGCCTTAGAAAAAGTACAGTGCTAATTACTCTTTATTTTCTCCACTGTTATCAGCTTAGAAAGCATGTAGCTATTGATACTTTGTCCAAAAAGGATGTGAAGGGTTTTCATTTTAAAGACTACGTATTTATTCTAGGGTTATTTTGCATGCAAAGTTTCATCAAAGAATATTTTATGGGCTCAGACATTTTTATTGCCCAACTGTGACATTTATCAGGCAAATACTTTTTTTGCAATACAGTACAATTTTTATCTTTAAAAAATACACAACTGTTTTGTAAGCAGACACCTGTTCTAATATTTACCCACAATGGAGTGCTTTTTTATATTTTGTTGGGAGATGGTATCAGCATCTTGAAATGGTCCACATCATCTTTGGATTGAATACTTCAATCCGGTTCAACTTCTTTGTGTGCAAGATGCAGAGTTAAAATTGTCTTCTGGAATTGCAGCGTCAGGCACATTATGTTACTGTCAGGCAAAAGAGATGATTATATTAGTAGATAATGATTATAAGTGTAATTTTCCTGTTAAGAAAATCTGCAAACATTGCAATACGAACCCATTATCTCAGCTTGCAAGTGAGTGGACAATGGTATCCAAGGTTGTTTTTTTCATATTGTAATTTTTATGGTGTTAAAAATTGTGGTTAGTGTGGTGCATGCATTCAGCAAGACAGTGCAGAAAGCATGCTGACTGTAAATATGTTTACCACTTCCTCACAACACAAATCCTAGATTCAATGTGTGAAAATGGAGCAGATTTCAACAAAGAGTGCCTTTCAGTGGGTAGACATGTTAGAAATGTGAGTGCCAAATGCTTTGCAGTCTCACCATTCTGTTGAGAGTTGACTACTGCTAACTAACTAAACAAAACAATGTTATTGAGCTCTTCTCTCCATCAGCATTACCAATAGATTATGAAGTTTATGTCGGTCTGTTGATGTGGTTGGTGATTCTTTGTCTTTCCAGCGAAGAAGATGAAACAGACAAGGAAATGCGAGGTAGCGTTTCCCTACAGCCCCATGAATAAAGATGAGCTGGAGCTGGTTGTTGGTGAGACTATAGAGATCATCAAAGAGGTAGATTCCCTTCTTATTACTGCTCAAACATTCACATTTGAACTCAAAAAACCAAACAGTGATGCTCTTCAAACAAGATATGGTAGTCTACTGTTGCCTGTAAGTAAGCTATTTGCCTGCTGCTTGCTGAAGCTGCTTGGTAGCCAAACCCTTAGCACTGTATGTAAATCAGGGAGTTGGTGAATGTTTGCTTAGCCAATCTTCTCTGGGTAAATAAAAGGTCTTTTTCAAAAGGCATTCATTGATTGTTTGGATATGACATTCCCTTTATATTTGACCTGCCAGGCTTACAAGCATGTTTCCTGGACAAATTACAGCTTTACGGAAATGCATGGGGACTGATTTGACTAGTTCTGAGAGTTCATGCCATCAAGTAATCAGATCTTAAACACGCCGATCGTTATCTCTGAAATGTATGCTTGGTGAGAGTATGAAAGCCAAAGTGTTTTATCATATTGCTGAAGTGTAGCCATGAAATACTTATTTTGTCTTTAAAATGTTTTGTTTCGTCTTGCTGTCTCTCCTTTACATAACACAACAGATTGAAGATGGGTGGTGGATGGGGATTAAAAATGGCCAATTGGGAGCATTTCCATCAAATTTTGTCAAAGAAATTTTTGTTTTCCCTAAAGGTGGGTAAAACTAATGTTTACTTTTTTTGGTTCCCTTTTCTGTATGTCTAAACAAACAAAAAAAACCCCAGCAGAACTCATTATTGGTTATA